GAGTCGCACATCCCCGTCCCACTTTTAGTCACAGCCAGGCTATGAAACTGCAACGCATGCTTATGATTTAGTGTATATTCCCTGAATATTATTGTAGACCAGGCTTTTACATGCCTACAAGCTGCATAATTGTGTCTTGATTAATTTGAAATGACAAGAAAACACAATGGGAATAGTGTTTCAGAGAGCACAAATTACACTGTAATCCCAATTTGTTCAGCTTATTGTCAACTTGCCTAGATTTGCTCTGCTTTGTGTGTTTGTGGTAGAATCCAGAGAGTTTGGCAAAAGCTGGTGATGGAAGATTAAGAAGTGAAAAGAGGGATGATGAAAGGTACGGTTGTCTTAATTCTCCTAAAATAAAAATATTCATTTTTTTTCATTTTGACTGGAGGAGAATTTATGTGACTTATTATTTTTGTTTATCTATTCCATTGTTCTTATATATATAATATGTTGTGGTTCAAATTTTACCTCTGGTTTAATTTTTTTCAAACCAGTTCAATTTTTTTGAACCAGTTTAATTTTTGTAAGGCAGTTTTCAATCAACTGTCTGAAAAAGGGCCTTCATTTCTTGGAATGTGGATTGAAAAATGGGGCTTGGCTTTTTAGGGGGGAATTCTGAAAAAGAAGTAGACGTCAGATAAAGAACGAGATTTCTCCATGATCTCTCATCACCGTATTATTCCTTACTCTCTTCCTATCTGCTCCCGTTATGCTCCTCAGATTTTTTTTTTTCTTTTATTCCTGACTTTAGAGTAGGCGCTCTATCATTATTTCAACTCACCTGGACTTGAACCATGCACCAACATTTTCAGAATCTGTTGCCGTCTCTTCGATCCATTAGGCCACTTTTTACACAATTATAATTTTAGTCCCAGGCTCCCCTCTGCTCGGCCAAATTTATTATTAAAATATTAGTATGCTTACACGCATGTGCATTTTATGCAAATTTGGACTTTGAAAGAAAAAATGGCAGAGAACTCATGCGTCTCAAAAGAAATTTTTCTTCAAAAATTAAATGATTTAAAAGTGGAACAAACCAAAAATGAATCGCTAGTAACTTTGTTTATGGACGACAATTTTTTTGACAAGGTGAAGAGATATTTCAAACAGAAAAGTCCCTCGGACTAGATTCAGGAGAACAAACCTATTTACAAATGACCAAATGGGAGATGGACACAATCAAGCCAAAGAACTGGTCCTATGAAAATGATTGGCTAGTAAGGAAAGTCTAAAAGAAAGTAATCCCCAAAGGATAGCTTCATAAGGTTTTAAGCCTTGCACACAAAAGCATACATCACCGATGAAGACAGATATCCAGCAAATGGATCAACAATAACTACAGCGAAGTCAACAGTGAAGTAATCAGCCTGTTTGTTGCTTCATGTCATTTTCACACTGAACAAGAATCTATTACTATAGT